TGTAGAAGGGTAGTTTGAAGTTCAGGATAGAAATTGACATAAAAATATTGGTTTAATTAATGTTAGGTGGAAATAAAGAGGTTTTGTGCCAGATCTATAGTTTCATTAACAGGGACATTAATAAAGAGACTTTCAATAAAACAAGGCTGTCATTAGATTTATGGGAGTGAAACATTTGAATACATAATAGAATTAACAAAATTTGGTAAGTACAGTAAGATTAGTTGCTTTATAGTTTTTGATGATATGCAGGAATAAAGCTTTTTTTTTTTATATATATAATTTTTAGGCACAAAGGTGAAATGATGTTGAATATCGTTTTTATAGTTGAAAATTATAACTAGAAATTTAACTGTGTGTGTGTGTGTATATATATATATATATATATATATATATAATCTCATCTCCAGGTAAGGTGAGAACAAATAGAGTACAATTCCAATGTTCATAACATTTAATTTAAGAGGCCTCAATACAAAGTAGAGTAATTTGTGTAATATAATAATAAAAACCTGAAGCTTTCTTTATTTATTAAACAGTATATTTATTTTTGTTTACCAGCCTGAATATCTGAGAAATCTTATTAGAGAAAAAAGAATATGCGTTCTCCTAGGGGTAACCATCATCAGATCTTTGAAATCTTGGCTACAATATGCCTCGATGACCAAGCAAAGCTAAACAGTGTCTTTTTAAACACATATTTTTCTGTAACTCTTGAAATGGACATATCTGCTCAGTTTCATATTCTGGCATAAAACAAAGAAAGGGGATGGATTTATTTATTAATCTGACATATCAGTAGCCACTAAAAATGATTTAAGTTATAAAAACTGTCTGATTAATAAATAAAAAAATTCAACCCTTTTCTTTACAAATAAATATATATATTTACACACACACACACACACACACACACACACACACACACACACACACACACGGTGTCCCAGTTAAATGAGAACAAATTATAAAGCAGTTATTTAAAAAAAAAAAAAAAATTGTTTTTACACATATTCAGTCAATAAAACACAAAAAAGGCCAATAAAAAGCCATTCCATAAAACTTCTCTGTCTTGATATGACTCTCCGGTGGTTGTTATGTTGGCATTTTGCAGCCACTTATTGGTCTCCCTTCCCTCTGAACAACACATTAGGCAAAGTAGTCCAGGATGTTCAGCTCATGAGAGTTAAGAGGTGACATGGTCAGCAATTGTGTTAGAGGGAGCAAAGTTTGGTAATATGTACAGTTTCCTCCTTTATTTTGTGCTTGTCTATTATATCCAGCACTTGAACATAGCGGTAGCATTTATCCTTAGGCCCTGTAAGAAAAAGTGAGGCAGATCATCACAGATAATGGGGGAACTTAGTATGTATCACTGTGGGTATTACCTTGAAGTATGGACAGAACCACTTTCAAGAACCTCACAATTTTGGTATTTCTCTGGCTAACGGCTAGTGAGTATCATGAGTATGAGATGCGTTTTCATTTCCTCTATTGGATTGTAAGTTGCCTTGATAGATTTGAGACAATGTTAACATCTTAACAAATACTGTGTGAAATTGTTAGTTTGTCTCCCACTTATGGACCCACTAAATGTTCTCAAATACCTAACACACCCTGTAAAATATCCTCTGATGAGTGGACGGAGTGATTGCTGGAGTGTCTATCTAAAAAAAAAAAACAAAAAAAAAACTCTAAGTTGGGATGCTGAAGGTAACATCAATCAATTAAGCGACTAATTTTATGTTTGTATTAATTGTATATCTCTCATATATATATATATATATATATATATATATATATATATATATATAATATATATAAATGTGTGTGTGTGTGATAATAAAACCATTTTACATTACTACACAAAAGCTTTCATGTTTCAATATTATGATTGTATTTCCTTAGATGATGGTTGGTAACAGGTGACAAAAATGATTTTCAAGGGAAATTTAAAAACGATTCATGATGTCTTTTCTGAAAGTTAAAGATTGGAGGGGAGGCATAAGGTTAGAATTAAAAATATACTTGTGGGTATGTCGCGTTTAACCAATTGAAAGTCAGATCTATGCTAAATAGAAAATAATCTCAGAGGGTGGAGGTGGGTGAGTTATTTTTTTTCTAGTCATGATAAACTGGTGCTTAGGCATGTTATCCTTGACTATTGTGGAGGACATACATGTGTGTGTGTTTTAAAATTAGAATATGTGATCCAAACAAAGTTTTACATTTTTGACAATTGGAAAAAGTTCATGAAAGTATATTTGTTCCAAAATATATCTGATTATACATTTTGCTGTCTTTGTCGGGATCATCCTAATTTTAAAATGTACTGTCAACACAGAAAATGTATGGATAAAAACAAAAAAAAAACAAATTTTTTACTTTCTACCCATTCTTATGAATTATATCTTTTGACTTGAAAACTGAAAGTAAAGAAAATAAATATTAACAACTTCTTAAAATCACTCCTTTTCTTTTTATCTTTTTTAATCACAAGAAATGCTGGCTTGGCAAAAATACGATTTCCTTATTTAAACATACACAAATACATATACATGCATCTCATTTTTCGCTTTTGGATATGATGAAGCCTTAGATGGTGAAATGCAGCATTGGATAAATTTTGGAATAAATATACTTTCATGAATGTTTTCCTATTGTCTAAAATATATATGAAAAATTTCTCTGAGTTAACCTGTAGAAAGAGACCATATTTGTGTGTGTGTGTGTATATATATATATATATATATATATATATATATATATATAACAATAGGAAAACTGTAATGTTGCTGACGCATTTTGTCCAATGTGGGCTTTTTTAAGGCAAAACAAAATGAATTTATTAAACAAAAATGTCCTTAGCAATTAGAAGAATTTAGAGATCGCCGTTTTCATACTGTTAACTGAAATTACGTCAATTACTGTCATGTGTGGAGATATTGTTTTTATTGTTGTTGACGGATTCAAACCACACTTCTAAAATTAAATCTGGAATTATTATAGATTTCTATCTAAGAGCATTAAGAATCTGCAGTCCCCAATATTTACTTCAAGAAGAAACATACATAGAAAACACATTCAAAAAACTACAATACTCATATCATTTCATCCACAACACAAGAAAGGCATCCAAAATATACAACTGAAACAAAAATAACAACATAATCCGCAATAATAAATTACATGAAAATAGATGCATAATACTATCGACTAACTCTGTCATGTCCACTATCCAGAACAACCTATCCCATCTAAATAATCTTAAAATATTCACAAACACTTCCCAAACCATTATGGATATACTCAGATCCTCAAACACTAATAACAATATTTCTGAAGCAGGCATTTATAAAATAAATTGCCAAAACTGTTCCTCCCAATATATTGGAGAAACAAGTAGAAATTTTAAAAAAAATACATTTATGACCACAAGAGACCTTGCAAAAAACAACTTAGCTAATGCACTAGTCATACATAGAAATAAATTCAACCATAATTTTAATTTTAAAAATGCTACACTCATAAAAAAAAAGAAATTAACTCACTCAGGAAGGAAAATCCTTGTGAGTGCTGCCATTGAATATTACCCAAATATTGATCTACATCCAGGCTTTTTCCCTATTTCACCTTTCTTAACAGAATTACTACTCTCCCAAACAAACGTACAGAACAGTATCAAGAAATCAAAAGAAACTGATTGAATCTGTCAACACAATATCTCCACACATGACAATAATTGACGTAATTTCAGTTAACAGTATGAAAATAGCGATCTCTAAATTCTTCCAATTGCTAAGGACATTTTATTTTATTATTAGTTATTTTGTTTAATAAATTCATTTTGCCTTAAAAGTCCACATCAGGCAAAATGCGTCAGCAACTATTACAGTTTTCCTATTGTCACACACACACACATATATATATATATATATATATATATATATATATATATATATATATATATATATATATATGTGTGTGTGTTTATTTTTAAAAATAGTGCTCGATACAAAAGTAGAGCATAAATATGATTATTTATTTAAAAATATGATTCCAACACACTACATAAGAGTTCTCATGTTTCAAAACAAGAGCCGAAAATTACAATATAATTATTTGAATTAAATTGAATTAAAGTACTGTTACCATAGAAATTTTTGATTTCAATAATGAATATGCTTATAAAACGCGTAAATTTCACAAATAAGTTATTCCCCAAAAATTTCGTTTGAAGATAGAACAGAGCTTAGTACTTTAATTGTTTAATTCAAATAATTATATTGATCTAATAGCAAATGATACATAGCTTTGTACACATTTTTCTAGGACCGTTTATATTTACCATTTAAACAATTTTCTTTTGTAGTAAATGTTTTTCTACTGAAGATTGCAATGTAGGCTTGCAGATTATAAGTACTATTACTGATGTATTTCTTTTATGATTTAAAAAGAAAAATTCTTTTCTAAATGCATCTACATTGGATGAAATCTTACATTAACCCAGTTTTTTCACAGTACAAACATTATATATGGTAGGTTTGTTCACAATTCAGCCATACTTGTATTGTGAGCACCATGTATGCATGAATTAATTTTTCATAGACTGGTGATTCTTTAAGCAATATCATACAGCAACAGATGACTTTATTATGAATGCACAACTTTGAGATGTATATTATTGGAATATTTTTTTTTTTTTTCTTTATTCAGGATCCTGGTTCATGATGCAATATTTAAAAAACAATATCTACAAGTTGATTGACATTATACTATTTTGTGTGCTCTATTTTATTCTCTTGATACAGTTGTGCAGTGCCCCCCCCCTCCACTCCACCAACCTTGTTACCTTAACTTTCCAATAATCATTATTCATATTATAATGGACTGATGTTAAAAATCTCACTGTCATGTTATATCTCTTCATTTTCTTATAAACATTGTGTTTATTGTGAAAAGCCATTTGTACTATTATTGGGTTTTCATTCTTTTTACAGACGGAACAACAGCTGGATTGTGCATTAGATTTGATGCGAAGATTGCCACCCCAGCAAATAGAGAAAAACTTAAGTGATCTTATAGATATTGTAAGTAAATTTTTGTCTTGTAAAATCCTGATATTTGTGTTTTGACATAGAAATGATTTACAGAATAGGAATGCTTGAAAATTTATAAGGATCATTAGGAAATTACAGAAATTTTGTGCCATAATTTCTTTTAATTCCCTTAGAATTGATATGAGTTCTTTAGAAATTTTCTTACTTTTCTGATTTAAAAACCAAAAAAAAACAAAACTTTCATTTATGTTAAATTTTAATAAAGCCAGTTCTGTAATATTATTTTTTTTTTTTTTTTTTTTTTTTTTTTTTTTTTTGTAAATATTTCTCTTCAAATTACTTCATTAATGTTTGTGTTAATCTATATAAATTTTTTAATTTAGTTTTTATTTCCATTTATTGTATTAAGGAAAAAATGTCTATAAATCTTATTTGAAAACTGAAAAAAACAAAACATCACTGCTTAAAGGATAATTTTAACAAGGTGATATTTAAAAAGAAAAAAAAATTCTTATTAATTACATAGGTTTTTTCTTTTTTTTAGATTTTCTCTGAAATAATTCATAACTTGGTTTTATGTCTGTTGCTATAAACTGATTCATATGATTTAGCAGTTCAATTAACTTTTTTTTTTTTTTTTTTTTTTTTTTTTTGTTAGTATTTCTTAGTTTCAATAAAAGTAACTTAAATTGTCATTCTATAGCCATTTAATGATAATTTATAATGCTTCATTTATGAAATTCAACAAAATATTACTACTAGTGTATGTAAATAATGATGACTTATTGGCCAGTCTGATAAGAAACAGCTATGTGGTTAGATATGTGGCCTAATTAGTAAAATAGGCTTCCTAAAGAAAAGGGATGCAGATTAGTCTTGCTCAAGGCTTATTTTTTATTGTTAGTCCAAAGTCTGAAAATGGCTCTGATAGTTTTGAAGGAAATACATGCTAAGAATTTAATAATCGATAATGTTTCTGCTATTAAATTTATAAATAAAATTTGATGATTTCAGTTTTGCTGCTAGTTAGAAGTTTTTAAAATGCACAAATACTGCAAATAGCTGTTTAAATTGTAAAAAAAAAAAAGTAGCAATTAGCTTGAAATAATTACGACTTCAGTTTTAAAATGTTTGAATTCACTGAAATTTTCTCTTCAGCAGTTTTTTTCTCCATCAGATGAACAATTTCATATAAATTGGTACATGTTTAGCAGAACATTAAAATGAAGCTTTATTTTAATATTCTCTTTTTCAACAAAAATGAATTATTCAACATATTTAATACATAATTGTTTTCATGCATATATTACTAAGATAAGTCATATAAAAATCCCTACTTAAGCCATTAAGATGCCTTAAAATTTCAAATAGTCTGGAACAAGATTTCAACTGGAACATCTATATTTTTTAAATATTCAAGAATTTTCTTTTTGCCTTTTAAGCTGAAAGCATTCTACAACAAATCATTTCATTTCAATATCTAATAAAAGGGTTGGTTGGAATAAGAACATCCTGGGTGAAAAAAAAAAAATATTGTTAAACTAAAAGTATGTAACCAAATTTATTGATCAGCCAATACTCCGAGAAATTTAGAATTGTAGAATTTATTATTCATCAAAAATGTTAAACACCTTTTAAAAGAAAAAAGTACCTACTTAGAGGTTTAATCTTAAGTTTTTTTTTTCTTTAACAATTGAGCTGCATATTTGAATAACAAACTTGAAAAGATATTTTCAAAATAATCAGTGTTAAAATTCTTTCATTCTGTTTTCTAAATTGTATGTCAAATGAATGAGATCAGTTATCTATGGCAACTATTATATCAAATATCCTTTATTTTTTCTTTTACTTATAAAATTTTGATAAACTATTAATCATTCAATTTATTAACAAACTATTCAAGTATTGATGCCAACAACTTTTACAAAGCTGCTGGTGATAACATACTGAGAACTTATATTTTTCATTTATGTAATTTGGATCTTGTGCTGGAAATTTTTTTTTTTCTTCCTCTTTCTCTCTCTTTAGGCTCCAGCGTTATGTGAGGATCTTCTTTCATCTGTGGATCAGCCATTGAAAGTAGCTCGAGATAAAATTGCTGGTAGAGATTATCTTCTCTGTGATTACAATAGAGATGGTGATTCTTACAGGTAAGAAGGGAACAGATTCTGTTAGTAGATTGAGATCATATGAGTAAGTGCTCTATTATAATTGTTACAAATACGGCCATCCATAAGTATTTTAATTTACCCCCCCCCAAAAAAAAAAAACGTACAAACATAACCTTGCCCAAAAAAGGTAAAGACAAGAAATGACTTGTCATTTGATCAAGGAAATGACACCCAGCTTTATTTGTGTGAGATGGATCTTATTTCAGGGGCGGGAACAAATACAGTTAAAGAAAGTTAGGTGAGGCAAATAAAATTTGCTTGTACAGCATTGATCCAAATAGAGCATATCATTTTGCTTACCAAGGAAATGAAGCTATTTTGTAAAGGAAATTTGTCAGAAAAGGTGGAATTGAGATTTTCACAAATCATATACAAGGAAGAAAAAAAAAAAGCAGTTAATGATAGGACATTTTGAAATATGGTCCTGTTATTATTGAAGCTTTTTTGTCAATCCAAATTCATTAATTCCCCCCTAACTAACAAATGGACTATACACTTCACTCTAAATAATTTTGATTCATTGAAACGCTATTTGTATAATATTAGTCATAGAATAGCACAATTTTGACAATGTTTGCATTAAATCTTGTGACCCCCTGACAATCCTTTTGTTTGCAAAATGTATAGATTGTCAACTTAAGAAAAGTCAAAATTTGGCATGAAATACTCAACCAATCAACCTCTCTCCAAATTAACTTTGTTAGTGTAGAATATATCCAAAGAGAAGTGAGGGAATGGAAATGCCTGTAATAATAAATAAAAACTGAAACATTCTCTCTCATATATATATATATATATATATATATATATATATATATATATATATATATAAATTTCCTCACTATTGTTAATGATTAGGGCAAAAGTTTGTCATTTTAAATCCTACTTATGGTATTGTAGTTTACATGAAAACTCTTAAAATATAAGCATTTCCACAGTACTTTTTTTTTTCTTTTTACAATAAAAAATTTAAGCTATTTTAAATTGTTTTCTTGGAATGTGTACATACTCACATAAATATGAGCCAAAGAATGAGGCTTCTGAATGCTCTCATAAATCTGGCAATCTGTTAAATTCTTAATGAAAAGAACTAGGAAAAATGGTGATACTATGGTTTGGGATGGATTTTTCATCAGCTTATATGATGTGATCAATCTTTAAATGATAAAAATTCCCATGACATGTAGAATGTGTTTCCTAGATGTGCAAGAATCTTATATAGTGGAACCTCAATTTAACAGACTAATAGGGGGAGGGTTGTCCATTAAAGCCATTTGTCCAGTAATTTGTAGCACTTTTTTCATGGCCTGATAACATCCATTTCAGTACAAAATTATTGTAAAAACAGTATATATGTATGTGTATTTTATTCTTCAGTTAATATATACCTTTAAATAAAGTTCGAAAAGTTTTAAAGTTTACCTAAACTTACCTTTTAAACATTGCTCTGATTGTCTAATATTGGCCTGAAAGTGCAGTGGGGCCTCACAGTAGTAATTACTGGAAGCCATGCTGGTGCTTGGGAAGGATGATAATGGCATACTGGCGACAGAAAGTTGTGGTGGTGAGTCAGGGGTTGCTTTCATGAGCTGCCTGTTTGGGCTGGGAGAATGAATTCAACTTTAATTGTTTCCCACTTTGATACGGTTCATGAATTGTCAATTCCCTTAATGTTCGAAGGTGTTGATAATATGCCTTAATTTCCTGATTCTTGGTCACATCAACAAATTTCAGGAGAGTGTCAACAAAATCATGCACGTTAGACATTCTTGGTTGTCCGACCACCTCTTTCTCGGAACCACAGCTGCTAGTGAAGGGCTTGACAAAAAACAATACTGTATACTGTACCAAAATCGGTATAAAATGTTCGAGAGACGATGCCTGCATGTACACAGTGAGTGCTCAAGTAAACAACAGTGGCTATTACAAGAACTACCAGTCTCTTTCTGTCTGTTGATTGCACCAGTAAACAACAGTGACCAATTCTGGAACTAATGGACTAACATTACCTGCAAATTTTGTCTGTTAAATCTGTAGTTTGTTGGTTTTGTTAATTTGAGGTTTTACTGTGTGTGTGTGTGTGTGTGTGTGTAATATATAGCTTCAAACAGTAATTTTTAATAGATATCCATATTCCGTATTTGATTAGATGCTTGTGTTTATTTCATCTACTGTCTTGCACACACAAGAAATATTATCCTGGCACGAATCGAACTTGTCCCTTTTTGCAGGAAAAACCATTTTCTGATCCAGTATGCTTTAACCACTTGGTTACGAAGATCACCACCACCCAGAAAGGTTGTATCTTGCCTTTAAAGTGTACTTCTCCTCCATTCAGATTTCTTGAAAGGTGTATCTGCTCAATTTCACATCCAAAATGTAAACAAGGCAATTTCTAAAGAATGAACAGCCATTAATTTGTTTCAGATATGAAACTGAGCAGAAATTTGAATGAGTGAGTGTGCTTTAAATGCAAATAGAACCTTGTTGCGTAGTGAAGCTCTTCGTACCTAAGCAGTTAAAGCATGCCAAATCAAATTAACACTGAAACCATTAATACAATAATGTTTCAATTATTTTTTTTATTTTTTTTTTCTGCAAGTCTAACAGGCTTGAATTCTTAAAGAAATTTAATGGCATGCAAACCTATGTTGATCTTGGAAGACTAGTGTTTTTTGTTCAGTTCTATGCATTTTTAAAGGAATGTTCAAAAGATCCTTGACTAAAATTTTTCTTTGTTCTCACCTCTCTGTGTGTGTGTGTGTGTATATATATATATATATATATATATATATATATATATATTTAAACAGTTTAAAGTGAATAAAGTGTATAGGAATTATTAAACAGTAATTTGAATAATAGTAAATGGAGTAAATTTATATTCTAAGAAAACTTTTCATTAGTAATTCTGAGTGTGATGAATTCATTGTAAAGTCAAGTTTCTAAGAAACAAAATTATTGGTAGAGTGAATTGCTATTGCGTCTAAAAATTATGGTCACACAGACCCCCTAAATGCATGCTACTTTTTGGGAGGCAGATTCTTAACTAACAACAACGTATTCTTCACTTGATTGTTATCACTGATCTGCATTTTATGGAAAACAGTTTTATTTTTTTTTATTCACAATAAATTGATAAGTATGTTCTATGGAAAAAAAAAAAATTTATTCTCTGTATTGAATATACTCATTTTAAAAGAAAAAAAAGTACAAACATTTTGGAAATTGAAGGAGTTTAATTTTCCTTTTGTAAAATTGAACAAACAATGAACATTGCTGTGGTTAGAATATCCAGATTAGGATAACATGTAATCTGCTTACAAATGTGAATCTTATAATATTGACAAATATTTACTCTATTTTGTTAGGATTTAGTCATTTGAAAAGGAAAATCAATTGATTTAAAAAAAAAAAATCTTTTGTAATTATATCTTTTTTTTTTTTTTTTTTTTTTTTTTTTAAATATTAAGTAGACAAGAATTAGTATTAGTTTAATGACCAGATATTCTTTGCTAATTAGCCATTAGTTTTGTTTTACTTGACATTCTCAAATGACCAGATAATCAAGGAAGCTGAGTTACTGATACTGTGGAGTATCACAACTTTAATTCCTATAAATTTTAGTATCAAGTTCCATAGCTGTTGTACTTGCAGAATTCTACCTCCATTACAAAAGAACAATCTTGTTTAGATTTTTCAATACCAAACAAAATATTTGATATCCTTTTTCTGTATTCATTTTGATTTTTTTTTGAGTATTCTTCTCTTCAATCACACACACACACACATATATATATATATATATATATATATAAGAACAAATACGATATGTTTATAAATCTAACATGTTTTTCATCAGAGAATGTGATATTGAGGGAAAACATGTCAATTGCTACACAATTGCAGTTGTTTCAATGTGTATCAATGCAATTCATGAAGTGGTTATAAATTACTGGTGAGTGAACAATTTATTTGTATTTAAAAGCAAAATACAACCTCCTTTTATGAAAAAGGTTGGGGAGGTTGTAAGGTTTGTAGGCTTTACTCTCATCAATCAATCAAATATGACCTATGTTAAATTTAATGTAAATGAAGAAGCAAAAATTTAAAGATTATTTTTTATAAATGGGTCATGAGACCCATAAATTGGCAGCTAATGACCAGCAGACATAAACAGATACATAAATTATACAAACTAGACAATGCCATTAACTAAGAAATAAAAATGGGGTTAGGAGGTAATTTAGTAAAATGCTAAACAAGTTATATACTTTGTGAGTTTCCTACATAAAATTTTTTATAGTTGATAAATAAATATCTTTAAGAAACTAGTAAATAATTTATGCAAGTTCCAAATTTATCTTACAAATAGAAAGATAAGCTATATATGTTACAATGCAGTACAACTAAAATATAAATATAAGAAAAAGCATAATCAAATTCCAAAGCTTAACTGAATTGTAAGGAAAAAGGTAAACTGTTTGCAATTTACTGTTAATTCATTCTTTTGATTTAATAAGAAATTTTTTTGAATCTGATAATTTCCAGTTTTTCATGTAAGCTCAGAAAACGGTTCATATAAAGATCTTTTAAACACCAAAAATATTTAGAAAGTGATGTATTATTTCTGTAAGTACTATTGATGAAGGACAAAGTATGTTGATACCACCTAGTCTTAAAAGAATTCTTAGTACTACAAATATAAAATTTTGGTTGGTATTTTTGACATTTTACATTGATTGGGTATTGTTATTCACATCTTTTTATGAAGAAACTTTATTTAACAGTTGCATATTAATTTACCAAATTATTCTATATATTTAAATTATTTACTAGTTTCTTAAAGAAGCTATTTATTTATCAGCTATAAAAAAATTTTATGTAGGAAACTCACAAAGCATATTTGTTTAGCATTTTGTTACCTCTCCAACCCATTTTTTTATTTTTCAGGTAATGGCATTGTCTAGTTTGTATAATTTATGTATCTGTTTATGTCTTGTGGTTGTTAGCTGCCAATTTACAGGTTATGACCCATTTTATAAAAAAAAAAAAAAATTAAAAAAAAATAATTTTTTACATTTTTTTTTTTTTTCTTTCTTCATTTAGTTTAAATTTGATGGGTTGACCAGAGTAAAGCCCACAAACCTTATAACCACCCCACACTTTTTTTTTTTTTTTGTAAAAGAGGTATTTTTGCTTTTAAATCTAATTGTTTACTCACCAGTAATTTACAATCGCCTGATGAAATGCATTAGTAAGCATCGAAAAATGACTGCAATTGTGTAGCAATTTTGACATGTTTTCGATGTAATATCCTAAAATAAATAATATTGCTCTTTGTATTGAGCCCTCTTGTAAATTAAATGTTATGAATTTTGGAATTGTACTCTATTCGTTGTTATCAGGAGATATATATGCACATATACTTGCCTGTACATATATATTTCTTTCTGAGGTGTTATAAATACAATGCTCAATGCTATGTAACAGAGCTATTAAGCATATATTAATGAATACATATAATGTCCAATGTCGATAACATTACTCTGAATACAGTCTGACTGTTATGAAATTTCAACGGTCGGGCAATATCCAGCACCTGAAATTGCAAGCCTGCATGAAACTCGGTCGTGTTATTGATGTTGGATATTGTGTGTGTGTGTGTAATATATATATATATATATATATATATATATATATATATATATATATATATGGACAGTTGTCTATATTTTAAAGATTTAACTTTATCATAACAAAAGTCAGCTATTTTTTTTTTTTTTTTTTTTTTTTTTTCAACTGTATTACCTTTGTATTTTTCTTTTCACATTTCAGGTCTCCCTGGAGTAATATGTATGACCCTCCCTTGAAGATGGTACTATACCTTCAGATAGGCTGAGGAAATTAGAAATCAGTGCCAATGCAGCTTTTGATCAGTATCGGAAATGTGAGTTATACTTTGTCCAATCCAATGCTTAAAACCACAAACTTTTTTTTGGGAAAAAAAAAAAAAAACTGGCCAAAGGAAAGTTTTATTAGAGAGGGGGATCTAACACTTTCAAATTTCCTAAGAATTAAAGTCAATATTAAATGCTATTATAAAGTCTAATCTCTTGCTAGGTTCAAATTGCAATGTTTAGTTTTAGATATTTTATGTGTGTGAGTGGAGGGGGTGCAATGGAGATCAGTGCAGAAAGTGGAAGCAGTAGCCTGGGTTCAAATTCTCAGCTAGTCAGACATGTTCACATTTACATAAATCTGTCTCCTTGCCCCTGATATGGATTAAATTGTAGGGTAGACTGGGCTCTCAAGACATCTGTGACAACTAGTTTAAGAAAAGCAAAAATTTGAATTTCAAAATGTGGGGAAAGCAATGGGGAAACTACTTCATTCTCTTTTCCAAGAATGCATGGTAATTTACAGATAATGAAAAGGAATCTCAAGAATCCTAATCACATGTCTTGAAAGTGTGTGATTGAGATTATATATATGCCAACACACAAACAGAATGTCTCATATCGAGAATATTCCACATTGAACATGAAGAAAAATTAATTATTTTTAATAATATGTAAAAATCTCCACTTTCACCTGAAGACGGTTGCGAGACCAGACCAGAAACACGTGTCGTGAAATTATGTAAAACAAAGTATAATATTTTTTCTCAATAAATCCACATTACAACCAAAAAACGTTTATGCACCCCTCTTCTTTTAATATACATACTTTTCTCTCGTTGGAACCACTACAACATATTTCCTTTATATATATATATATATATATATATATATATATATATATATATATATATTATAAATATATATACTTGTAATTAATTACTCATCCGGAAAAGTTACCAATTACCTGGATATTAGATTGATTTATGTGACTACTATTTCACCATATAGAAAGGATGATCAGTACCCACAGTACATCAACGTAGGTTCTAATCACCCAGCACATATCTTGAAGCAGATACCTAAAGGTATTAATTATAGGCTGTTGACTAATTCATCTAATAATATTTTTAACGATAATAAAATAAACCTATGAACAGGCTTTAAAGAAAAGTGGACATAACAATAAATTAGAATATATTGATATGGATGATGACCCTAGAACACAAAACTAGAAATTTATTATGGGTTAGTCCCCCCCCCGCCTCATAATTCAACGGTGAAAAGTAACATAGGCAAAGTATTTTTTTTGGAATACTTGAACAAAACTTCCCACAAACTAATGCATTACATAAAATCTTTAATAAAAACTGTCAAATTAAGCTATAATTGTATGCCCAACATGGCTAGTTTAATTAATAAATACAACATGAGAAAAATTAAGGACAAACCTAGTAAACACCCACCACCCCCAAATGTAATTGTAGGAATAAGAAAACCTGCCCCCTCTAGAGAAAGTGCCAGCAAGAGTGCGTGGTATGCCAAGTAAAAATATACAAGGATAAACTTAGCAATACTGATGAAAATCCAAAAGTATATATAGGATCTACCCAAAATAGTTTTAAAACCCGATATTATAACCATCTTAGTAGTTTTAACAACGAAAGATACAAACATAACACCACATATGTATGGAAAATTAAACATGACTATAATAAAGACCCCATTTTGAAATGGGAGATATTAAAGAAATGCCATAAGTATAAAGGTAATAAATTTTGTCATATATATATATATATATATATATATATATATATATAAAAAAAATTAGCCATTGCTTTGTATAAAGAACTCAGTAATTTGCTTAATCTGAAATCTTGAGTAAGTATAGACATAGGAAACACTGGTTACTAGTATAGGTTTCTTCTCACTCTAGGTTTGCCTGGCTCTTTAGGTTCATAGTTACACACACACACACAGAGGGTGCGATGGATAAATTGTTGTCTAAATTACCAAATGAAAATAACACTGACATCTCATTTTAACAGATATTATACAAAAATATCTTTAAATCCTAAAGAGTAAATTTATTCAATAAAATCGCCATTGGCTTCAACCACTGCCTCCAGATAACTTCAGAATCTTCTATGACTCTTTTGAACAGTCTCCTTGTTTAAGTTGGTGAATGCTGCTATAATCCTTACCTTCTGTTCGTCTTTGGTGTTACAAAAAATTTTGCTCAACTGTGCTCCGCACATAATAAAGGGCCTTGCAGTCTGGGGAGTTAGGATGCCAGATGTAAGGGGTCATGTTGCAGAAATTGTCTGACAGCCATGACTGGGTTCTACTGCTTCTGTGGCATCATGCAGAGTCTTGTTGCCATATATAGGGTTTTCCAGCAGCCACCCATTTGACTCGGGGCAGCACTACCTCCTTAAGGCACTTGATGTAGGCCTCCATGTTGAGTCTGAGGCCATCACCAACAAATTTGGGAGTTCTTTTCTTATCAGAACAGTTAGTTTTCCAAGCTTACCTTTGAAATCACCATTAGATTCATCCAACTTTTTCTGAATCCTCTGCACTGTTCTCAGATTGACACCCAAACACTCTGAAATGTCCATATTGGAGCTTCTGGCACAAATTCCAAGCAGTACAGCATGCAGTTTCCAAATTTCTGGTGGAGTGAATTGTCATGGTGCTCTTTTTCTCACAGATGGTACCCAACTGACCCTACTATACTTGTAGTCAACAAAACAAAAACAACTCTCGCGCAAGAAATTAAAAATGTAAAATTGCGACAATTTACTCATCTCACCCTATAAATAACTATAGAAAATTCAAATTTTTAGAAAAGATAATCTACAAATTTTCTGTCTGAATAGGTGTACTATACTATCAAGCTGTACTATACATTACTTTTTATTTTAATTCCCTGAAACAGAAAAACTCTACAGTTACACAGTCTGGCTTTGTTCTATAGTGAAGAGCTCCAATAACAATGTTTTAGATAATGGAGAGGCAAAAAGCCAATAATTTACTTGAAATTTGACTGACATGAGCATCAGCCAAGTTCTCTCCTTACCGTTTCCATTTTTAGATTTGCTTTAAAAAAAAACAAAAAAAACTGTCCATCCTTGTTTCTTTTGCCAGCTTATCAGGATAATTTTAGAGTAAATCTATTTTATCACTGGCTTTCTCTAGCCTTTTTTACACATTGGGTTGTTAGCCAAATTCTCTAGCTTGGACTGTAATATGGGACCAATGAATCTCTTGACTAATATTTGCTCATAGCTGGTAGCCAGGGATTAAGGTCTTCCCAAGAGCATTAATGTGAGGTGAGCACAAACTTCCCCATGTGGTGTTTGAACCTGTTTTGTCAATTCCATTTTTCATGCTATTAAATCCACTGCTTTTTCTATTATCTTGTATATAAAGTACTGTGTGTGTGTGTGTGTGTGTCCAGGCAACTCCTCTGCTCCCACTGGTCCAATTTCAATGATTCATAGCTCATTCAAAAGCCCTAGAAAAGTTTGGTGCAGGGAATGATTTTCGTTGAGCTCAGATTCAGGGTTGCCAGATTATGCAAGGTTAAAAATATATATTAATATACTAGCCATTATTGTTGTTTTCATGGTTCAAGGGTAGTAACTCTTTTCCTTTTGTATTCAAAATTGCAGTGCATGTTTTATTATAAACTAGCTTAAAAGCCACCCTATCAGGCAGCATTTAAGCTAACTCCTGTGGAAGACTCTAGCTAGGGAGGAGTAGATGTGATAGGCATCAATAAACTACAGAAGAACTCAAAATAGATCACTGCATTTAAGTATTGAATTAATGTTTAAGCTTACCTTTTAAAAGTTCAATGATAATTCTTCTGCTGCCAGTTAATTTAAAGGTGATTTGATGTACATAGAACCTTATTTTCCATACAAACAATTTTTATTTCATGGGTGGCAGAACGGGACAATTTATAAGATAAAATTAATATAGTGTAAAGATGGGAAAATAGAAATTAGAATTAGTTATACATTCAACATTTGAAGAGTTAGAGAAACATAATAGCCAATTAAAACCTATATTATGGAATATAATATATTAATATATATTTATTTTGGGATGGGTTTTTTTTTTTTTTCTTCTCCACTCTCCTTGGATGGATTTCAGCAAGTTTGTGATTGGGTAGGAGTGTATGGTTGAGCGCCCTGTTCTCACTATTGCATGAGCAAAGTAAATGCAATTTGTCGAATGAAGTATGATAACTGGTTGAGCACCCCGTGCTCACTAATGCTTGAGTGCAGTAAATGTGCTTGCAGGAAGAAAGCGACAGCACTCGTGAGCTTGTGAGTGACTGGCTAGTAGTAAATATAATAATCATAAGTTATCTGAATTTCTTAGGTGAAGCATTCATTATTTATTACTCTTTGTCTAGTTTTTCTTATCTTTGTTGTTTTTTTTTTTTTTTTTTTTTTTTTATTGAAAGTCTCCAGTTATTTTTACATCTTGTGTCTGTTGTTAATTGTGCAGCATGAATGATCAAAAATGAAGAATGCAGTTCAGACAAAATTTTCAATTGCCTTCCTTATTCTTGGCATGTAAGAACAATGTGCAGGTTGCAATTAAAAAGCCCCCAAAATAACATGAAAGAAATATTGAAAAAAAAATTATAACAATGTTTCATCTAAGAAATTTGGGCAACCTAATTTGCTGAACATCTATTTATAATTACCTTCTTTCTCTTATGGGCTTACTGTCATATTATGTTGAAACATTGGTTCTTGTATGATCAAGAAAGTTAAGCAATGTTGAGCCTGGTCAGTACCTAGATGGGTGATAATAACAGCTGCTGTAAGCATGGGTGTGTGGGTGGTATAATAGATAACAGCCTGGGATGAAAAATCAGAGAGTTGTTATATTTTTGATAGTTTGTTATATTCACTTACATGCAAATGTCCTTGGGGAAAGTTATAAGTCCTCTTCTTCCCCAGCTATGGTTTAATTTGTGTGACTTGTATCAATAAATCATTATATAAAAAAAAAACAAAAAAAACAA